CTCTGTCGGAGCGACTCCTAGCCGTGGAGCAGGCGAATGCATCGCTGCAGGCAACGGTTGAGCGCTTGGCTCTATTGGAAATGGAGGTTATTGCACTCCATGCTTAAAACCCGTTGCTGGTTCAATTTCTGGGTGGCCGCGGGCCCGTGGGATCCGCTTTGGGGTCAACGCTTCCGCGTTCACTTGCGCCGGATCCCGGTACGGCTTGAGCAAAACCACGTAAGAACCGGGTGGGTGCGCATCCGTTTGGGTGTATACACCAGGCCCCTCTTGGCCACAACCTTAAACGGTTCGATAAACCGTGGACGAAGCTTTGTCTTGAAGACAGCAGAGGCTGCATGTGTAGGCAGGTTTTTAGAGTTTAATAAAACCAGGTCTCCGACCTAAACGTTTTCCACTTTGCCTCTTCCTTTTCATCTGCATATTACTTCTGCAGGGCTTGGCTTTCAGCCATCGCATCGCGAACGTGCCGTGGGACACTCAGTCTGATAGACAATAAGTCATTGACTTCTTTGCGGATGGTGAGGGGCTGACATCAGCAAGCCCATCGGCTATTCCTTCTCCACCAAGCCCTGAGCCATAGAATAGCGGCGTCAGCGGGACGCGAGGGTGAATCATCCCGTTCACGTAGAACGGTGTGTAGCCGGTAGACGAATGCACTGCATTGTTCAGTGCGAACTCTACGAGGGCCAACATGGCCCTCCAGCGCCTCGGCGTCTCAGCGCAGACGCTTCAAAAAATGTCTTTGATAACCGCGATTCACCCATTTCGTTTGACCATCGGTCTGCGGATGATCCGCTGTCGACATATCTAACTTGGTGCCGAGCACCTTGACGATAGCCGACCACTTTTTCCCGTGAAACGGAGGTCTTTATCAGAGCCAATTTACTCTGGGAGTCTGTGTTGTTGGAAAACACGATCCACGAGCAGCGGTGCTGTACCGACCACGTCGATGGTGTCTGGCACCGCCGCCAAATGAGCCGTCTTGCTCAACCGGTCGACGAATACCATGACACCCGTAATGCCCGCCATATCTTTCGGCAGGCCAAACACAAAGTCCAAACTCATGGACTGTCAGCACTTAGTGAGTTTCGGTAAGCTGGCCAGCGGTGCAGCCGTATATGGAGAAGGTTTTACCCGTTGACACGTCTCACTCGTGCGCACATAGGTGCTCGTC